CTAAAACCATGCTTTAATAATATCTATGTGAAATTCAATTAATAACATTTAATCCATTTTCTGGTTTCTCGTTTGTACATGTAGATTTCAGATCAATCGGCAAGTCAACCTTTCGAAAGCTGTGGAACGTGATCAGCCCTTTCATCATCTGCTGCAAACCAATGTCAGATGTTTGCTGGGTTTGCCAGCACAACAATAGTCTGCTATACAAATCTGCGAATCTGTCTGATGCGGAGAAGTCTGACCGTTGCAGAGCACAGCAAAACCATCTGGAGAAGGTAGCCATGGAGCGGGACCTGTACAGGCAGCAGTCAGGAACAGCGAAGGCCTCAGCAGAACAGCAGGGCATCAGAGGTCTGGGCAGAAATGCTCCTTGTAGTCGCAACATGGAGATGCACTACTCCTTTGATTTCGCCCAGCAAGTCAACTATCCTTCCGATCCACTTCAGCAAGGGCCAGTTTACTTCTTGACCGGGAGGAAGTGTGGTATCTTTGGAGTTCACTGTGAGGGTACTACTAAGCAGGTGAACTACCTAGTGGACGAGGCAGTGTCCATTTCCAAGGGGAGCAGTGCTGTTATCAGCTATATTCATCATTTTTTTGCCAGTTATGGTCTTGGTGAGACCAAGGTACATGTACATCTCCACTGTGATAACTGCAGCGGTCAGAATAAAAACAGTATGATGATGTGGTACATCCTGTGGAGGTGTACATGTATGCATGGGCTGCACTCATCTGTAGAGCTCCATTTCATGGTGGTTGGGCATACCAAATTGGCACCAGATTGGTGTTTTGGTTTGCTTAAACAGAGGTACAGGAAGACCCCGGTATCCAGCTTGGCGGAGATGGTTGGTGTGGTGACAGAGAGTACCCCGTCTGGGATCAACATCCCCCCAGCTGGTAGGCGACGAGGCAGGCAACATCAATGTCAACCAGTATGACTGGCAGGAATTCCTGTCGCCTTTCTTCAAGCCCCTCGTTGGAATCAAAAGTCATCAACACTTCTGGTGAGTACATTTGTTTGTAATTATAAATGCAGAAATGCAATCCCAGTTTGACCGTTGTGTTAGAATGGAATAAGACTGATAAAAGATCCATTTTGTATAACACATTTCCATCCGATGAGCCAATAATTTAACTTATTGAAACTTCATTTTTTATTGCAGAGTTTCTTCAGATGAACCGGGAGTTGTATATGCACGCAAGACCTTGACAGATCCGGAAACACCCTATCAGCTGTTGAAGTCAGCTGCCAGATTGCCACCGGCGGAATTACCAGAGCCCCAAATCCCCCAGGCTTGGATGCCAAGCGGCAGTGGTATCTCTACGAGAAAATCCGAGAGTTCTGTAGCGTCGACACGAGAGATACAGTGTGCCCTATGCCAGAGATGTCAAAGCCATAGTTTCCTAATTTTTGTTTTTAAAGCACTGTTTTGGGTCATGTAAAACTGAAAGTTGGGGAAAACGTTCATTTCAAGACCTTGAATGCTTGCTTTTTTTTAAACTCTAAATCATGCATTTTTTTGGCAATATCAAAAACAGAAATTCCGCCTTAAAGAAGTAATGAACAAATTTTTTGGTATTTTTACCCTGAAACAATTTTCAATAACATTCATAAGGGAATAACAGTGTGAGGAGCCGGTCTTCACTGCGTGATAATGACCGGGTGTGGGGGTAACCACTGTTAATGGACCGAGATGAAGTCGAGGTCCATTAACAGCGGTCACCCCCACACCCGGTCATTATCACGCAGTGAAGACCGGATCAGCCACAATTCAGCCACAGTTCAGCCACAATATGTTGGCATTGCATGTTGCATCGTCAGGTACAAATGTACTAAGGTCTCTAAACGAGGGAACATTTGGAAGCTAAACCGAGATGATGGTGGTTACACAATAGATTCACCCGGCCTCTTCCTAAAAGAAAGTAAATGTTACCACTAACAGCGGCAACCCTCATAGCCTTCAGCCCTTTGTAGTAATATTTTGTAGTATCAGATCCCTCAAGAGACAACTGACTCAGAGAGAGTATGTAAAGCAAGTGATAGTGCAACATGATCTTGTTCCAAAAGGTTAGACTTTTCTTCTTGCCTCTTAACACTGTGGAGCCTACACAGTATGTTAAGGAACAGCTAAAGCATATCGTAGCCAAGTTTGCCATCTACCAGGGACCAGATTACAGCAAGCCTACAAAAACTGCCCGCTTTGCCAGGGAGAGTACATGTACATGTATGTCTGACAACAGAGATTAAAGCAACCACATGCAGAAGAATAACACACAGCCTCCAACATCAATCTTGCATGGGTCAAGACATCTTCTTCACTTCTAGTTGCGCTACATTGAGTACACGTTTAAAAGATTTTGAACATGCCAGTGATTTTGGAAAAAGCGACAGAATCTTTTGTACAAGTCCATGATTACTTCAAGTTTGCAGGGTATCAAAGTATGGCTATCACTCCTTTAGACTTCTTGCTATGGTTAAGTGTCGGCTCTCTCCTGGATGCTTACAACGAATGCATTAATTAATGGGTCAGATCTTAAATAGAAGGACTTGGAAGTACGTCCAGATTACAGGGGGAGTTTTCCAGGGTGTGAAATTGGGGATGACCTTCACACCCAACTTGAACCTTCTTAAGGAGCAGCCATATAAGACGGGTGGGCAGTTTGTTACATGGTCCTTCCGTTTTTGCCGCCATGACGGGCAAAAACGTTGACCCAGCTGACAGCTGGGTCAGCTGGGTCAACGTTTTTGCCCGTCAGCTGGGTCAACGTTTTTGCCCGTCATGGCGGCAAAAACGGAAGGACCACGTAACAAACTGCCCACCCGTCTTATGAAGCTGACATTCGAGCAAATTTGATCAAGGTTAGTTCAACAGGTAAAATCTTATAAATACATGTAGGCCTACATAAATAATGGTTACATATTAAAGGTGAACACGAACCCGCCAACTTAATAACACGTTACAGAATGGAAAAGGTTTCTGTTTTTCTGAACATGCTAGAATCAGTTTTTCTGAAAAATCATGTCACCTCATGTCACCTTGAAAGGAAAAAAGAAACAAACGATGCAGAAGTAAGAGAAAATTCACTAAACTGTCGCATTATTTTCTAAGTGATTTATTTGTTGAAAACTTAAGGTTGACCACAAATAAAAGTCGTTCATAAGACTTTAAGTAAACGGTAGGCATACATGATCACAAAGATTAACCAAGCATGCACATTCTAGGGTTCAGCCAATCAGAACTTGTTGGCAGTTCAGAAAAGAGTGCAACAGGCTCAAAGGCTTTGAAAGAGTGGGATCGGCTCAATCTTATAAGCGGGTCTCACAAAAGTTTCAATCATGTGACAGATCAACCAATCATAACACAAACAGCATGTTTCAAAGAAAAAAGGCGGCACATTTTAAAGTCTTGAGATCCTTGGGTCAGGAGTTGCACCGACCTAACACACACTTGGAAAAGGAATGTTCTTCAGTTCCTGCCCATCGCTATTGCAGAGAAGACACACAATTTCAAGTTAGTTAAATGGCGGCCCACTTGTTGAACGGTGTTGTCAATCGCTGCATATTGAATTCCATAAGCGTGGTAAATGCACGCGATCAATGCACCCAGCCCCTTGTCCATCAATGAATTCTGAATTCTGACTGGATGGAACAAGATTCCCAACAGCCTCCCCTAAGGGCTTTTATAATTATAACAGAAGTGGAAGCACCTCGAGAGCAAAGAAGCTCCCTTTACCAAAGACACATGCGGCTGAAAACGACTCCGACGAAAGTATTGGGGCTTTCAGAAAAGTAACAACAGCGGGAAAAAAAATTGCTAGAAGTACAGGGTATTTTCATAATGAAAAGTTGATATAGGCAAATGAACATAAGCTCAAGTATGTGGGGCGCTGCATACACACACTACAGAACACACGTTACACACAATGGCGCGCATTTATATACAATGTACATAATAACTTATCAAAACACTGACGGGCTATATTTTTTACAAGCCAAAATGGTCGTCGGAATTTATTGTCCAATTAGCATGTTTCTTATATCAGCGTTTTAAGAAATTTATCAACTTTATGAATGTCGTCAGCCCAAGCTTGTTGAACTTTTCGTTTTGACGCTGTAGTAAAAAACGCCTGAACATGGGTGCTAAGAAACTAGTTTACACTTCGTGGATGTGCACTACTGAATAGGAGCACAAAGCATGGATGTGTTTTTTCAAACTAAAATGGTTGTTATTGGCCGAGCACCGTCAATGACAAATTTCATCCTATAGAAAGCTGAAGATGTCTTCTTTCGTGTTCTGATCACCCCAGATTTGTAAGTTGCCTATTTTTTAAGATATGCCTATTTTTGAACACCCAGTGTTGCGATGAGCAAATGTTCAAAACTTTTCATTATGCTTAGGGTTCTTGGATATGACGGTCAGCCGAACAGAGTCAGCCCAACCAGTCAGTAGCCAATGGTTCAACTGAACAACCCCAACATCATAATGAGCCATTAACTGATGCTCCAACCAAGTAGCCCCAACAGCTGTATCAAGACATTCCCCCACTAACTTTTATGGGACTGGTAAGCACTGTAGAAATTTCAAATGATAACATGAGGGACATCATCTTATTTTGAATTTTGAATTATCAAAGGCATGCCCAAAGTAAATCACAGAACAAAGGGGCGAATCCTAAGTCAGGTCATAGTGTGAAATACATGTCTAGTACTATCAGGGGTACTACCAGTCAAGATTGACCATGCAGAAACACTGTAATCAACTTCCGAACCCTAACCCCCTAGTAGTTCCTCAGGACTACCGGTATCCTGCTAAATCCAACAGAGTCCAACCGGACTTTCCTGCTCAATCCACTGTGCCTCATTTTCAGTTGTCTGCTGAATCCAACGGAGTCCAACATGGCGTTTTAATGCCATTCAGTTGCCTGCTGAATCCAACATTTTGCATGGGGAATGTACACAAGGGGTTTACTGCTCAATCCAACAGGCTCCATCGAGTATAGTTGGATCCTGTTGGATTCAGCAGGGTTAAGGTTAGCTTAATTCAAGAAGTGCTGCAGACTCAGTCACAGTTCCCATCTCGAAGAAGCTATGCATGTACATGTACTTTGCTAATTTGCATACAATACACAATGTAGTTTCAGAATAAACTGCAATAAAGTTGCCTCATCAAAAAATCAAGGGCTTGAATAATGGTAACATACCTGTATGCATGCTCAACTATTCGCAAAAGTATTACAATTTTATGACAAACACTTTTTTTTTTGAGGGGGAGGGGGTTGAATGAACTAAGAGAACTAGGAGAACTAAGTCTTACCGAATAATGATGTGTTATTTTCCTATGACTGTGGGCAAGCTTGTAAATTTTCAGTTGAAAGATCACCATCTACTACAAGTTCCAAACAAGACTTACCTGCCTTGAAGCAAGGAAACAGGGGATAGGGCTGAGTTACATGCACCAAACCTGAACAGAGTCATGGGCTGGGAAAGCTGCTTCATCAGAACAGGAACTGGATAGATGTAGGGACTTGCATGCAGCAACTGAAATACATGTTGAAAAAAGAAGGGGATAACAAACAAACAAATTAAACATCATAAAAAATTAACACAGGTAAAGAACAGAATTACTTCAACAGGAAAATGGTGCTTCTGCCCATGGGCAAGACACTAAACTACAATTGTCTCTGTCCACCCAGTATGAATGGGTATACATGTACCTGTGAGGGTAGAGGACTGAATGTGAGCTGATATCAGCTGCCGTGCATTGAAGGAACAACATGCAAACATAGGCCAAGATGCAACATCACAAGTCCTAAACAGGAATGTCCCTTGCCATACTTGCATTTGGAAGCTTAAAGTTCATGGACCAAAGGAAAACACACATAACTTACATGTAAGCGTGTTTCATGTACATTTATAGTTTTTCACGTAGTCTATAACATGTACTATTGTTAAAAGTGTGGATTCGGAACTACAAATCTGTTACGCTGGTCAAAAAGTGTGGATTTGGAATGCAGAATCTTCAGTAAAGTGTGGATTCGGAATTACGAATCCACACTTTGAACACGTCTGACAATTGTTCTCCATAATGAGCATTAATAGGACCATATGCGTGAAAACGTTCCTTCCAAAATTACCAATGCATCTTCACTGTCAGATTCTCTGCCGTCGATCACTGCAAAACGTACTTCGAGTCAGAAAGAAATCATCGTCTGAACTATCCACATGTCGATGGAAGGAGCCGGGAAAAATATTGCAACCTGATGCCACTTTTTTCTTCATTTGTCATCTCAATGATGGTCATTCATTGCAAAAATGACGATAAGACATGAATCTGGGACTGAGAAATATTTCCAATTTTGTCAGGAAATACCTTTTCTTGACTCTCCATAGACTTTGTACACAATCGCGGAAGTGGCGTCAGGTTGCAACATTTTTCCCAAGTCTTTTCATCCCCACTTACTGTTAATGCCAATACTTCTTTTGACGCAATGGTTTAAGTCGAAGAATACACTCGAAAGTGTAGATTCTTAATTTACGAATTCACTCGGCGCTTCGCACCTCGTGAATTCTTAAATTACGAATCCACACTTTCTTGTGTGTTCTCCTTAACTGAACAGTGGACACGTTGCCCAAGCCATATATTTGGGGGGTTTTCAGGGATGGTTCAGTTTGGGTCAATTCAGGTCAGTTTTTGCTTGAATTTTTGTCAGGTCGGGTCGCGTCGGTTTAGAGGAGTTCAGATCAGTTTCGGTTCAGATTCTGTTTATCTCTACAATGTTTCGGGTCGGTTTGGCCTGGTCAACCGGACCCGATGCACAATATTAGTTCCCAGCAGCTTAGAAGGGTAACAAGGAGCTTGCCTCACATCAATGTGTTGACAGGAGATGTTGATGCACCCTACGTTTGAAGGAGCACCACTGTCTTTCATCTCTCCCACTTCACAATCTGGGAGACTGTTCCAGACATGGACTGCAGTGTGGATGAAGGTTCTGCCGGTGGAGTAGGTCCTGGGGACTGGCTTGGAGAGTGCATGGCTAGGCATGGACAAACTGAGGCGTGTTGCGTGTCATATCTCATCATAGAGCAGGGGAGCATCTAGCCTTCAAGCCTGGTGTCCTAACAGAAATGAGACCTGTAAAACACTGGCTTCAAAGCTGCAAATTAAATGACAAAGTCCGAGTTTAAATCAAATAAATAGTCCATGGTCCAGACCAAATGTCAGTACCATCTGAGGTGGCAAAACTTACAAATGCAATTGGTGGGAAATTATTTGTTTTATCACCATAAGTCAAAATAAAATGATAGCCTTTCGTAGTGAGTAATATATTTTTGAAAGCAGGTACCCTTTTATACCTTAAACCCTATGCAGGCTTCACAGTGCCCCTCTTCATCAATACAGGTTTTTTAAAAAGGTTTGAAAATCAAAATCTAGGGTTTTAAAGCTTTTCCAGAAGGCCTTTTTTGTGCAAAATCTTGCAACCTTTCAGCATGAGGTAGAAATATAGCGAATTGCTTACCTCCAGTTCTCCACACTAGATTATAGAAACCCTCTTGTGAAAAATCTTAGAGAGGTAGGACTATATCATTGATGTGGTTATTTTGGAATATAGATATAAGTGCGGGTCACTGATAGAAACGTTTGAACTTGCCACCTCGGATGGGGAAAAAATTCCATACTGGGCCACCACTAACCTGCTGCCAAACACACCAATTTTTACCTTACCTTGTGATTTCAACCAAGATGAATCCAGGAAACCTCGGCAATGCAATTTTGTGGCCAGTACGGAATTTTTTTCAAATTTCATTACATACTGGTACATACTTCAACATTCCATCTCAGAATCATACCCGAAAAGTTACAAGCTGCAATTAGGCCACAAAAAAAAAAAAAAAATAGTTCTGCTTCCGATTACATGGCATTCGAAAATAGGTAGGTAGGGATTTTTTGGTGTGTACAATCATATGGAGACGTCTGCGTGATAGTCAAGGGTCAACGGTAGAAATTGATAGTTTTGGGTGTTTTTTCCTGTCATTTTTCCCATGTAAAAAATTAGTGTAGGGGCTGTCAGAATAGGGTAGGTAGGGAAACCGGAAGCAGAAATATTATTTTTTTTGCCTTAGCTCCACCCAGACGCCACTGCAGCGCCGTGTACAAATTAAGTCTATGGAGAGTCAAGAACATTCTGAAAGTATTTCCTAACAAACAATTGTTTCTCAGTCCCAGATCATGTCTTTTCAACATGTTTGCAATGACTGCCGGAAAGAATTCCATACACGGCCTACACAAACCCGGTACATGTATACCGTTAGTTCGTTTTACCGTTTTAGATTTTCTCCAAAAAAAACACAGTTAACGAACCATTGACTCTTTTGTCGTTTTACAGTTTTGTTAAACGGTCAAACGGTATTAAGTCACAAAAAACAATGACCTTTTTGTAATTTTTTAAATTGTAAAAAGCGATAAACAGTTAGTTGCTTTACTTTTAGAGTGTTGTTTTACAAAAACATGACAATGACAAAACAGTCAATAGTCTTGTCGACCATTTTTGGATTCAGGTTTGGCAATTAAGCAATGCACCTTGGAATGTTAATGTGTCCTTGTGATCGATTCACTGCCTGGGAAGTTGCCCTTCTTACAATTATGTCGTTCTCACGATAGAATTTGCGAATATTGGCTATTGAAGAGCCGCGCCAAACTCCAATTTCCTTCAAAATATCTGCAACTTCTTCATACGTCTTACCACCCTGTATCCTTTCTGAAATTTCCTCCTTGAAATTTTCCAGCGCCATTTTTGCTTGCAACTCTCTAAGCCCCGCCAAAAATGTCAGTACATGTAGATGGGGGTCAGGGTTATGCCAGGAATCACACCACGCATTAATTATGCCGAGGTAACACTTCTTCGTGCACGGCATGGTCCCCCTTCACCCTCCCCCCTTGCCCACCACCACAAAATGCACCACGGACTGTTAACTATGACACTGAAATAAAAAATAAAAACCGTCTACAGGTATTCAATACTGACCATTTTGCAGTTTTTGTGTAAAACTGAAAAACAAAAATCACTGATCGTTATGCTGTATTAAATTTTACTAAACTGATAAAATGAAATAACCGTATTTATCTTAATACCGTTTGACCGTTTTACAAAACTGTAAAATGACACAACGGTCAATGGTTCGTTTACTGTTTTTTGTTTTTGAGAAAATCCAAAACGGTAAAACGAAATAACTGTATGTCCCGGGATTCTACACTCATATTCTTTAATTATGACAAGTACCAAAAAGTGAAAATCTGATGAAGAAACACCAAATTAGGTGATACTTTTGATAATTAATACTTTAAGCTAACTTTTTCTGTCATGGCCCATAAACTTTGTGCAGGAGGTCTGAGTAGAGGCCGTGTATGGAATTCTCTCCTGACTGACCTTCACCAATGAAAAAAAAAAAGTTGCACCAGGATCCAGCATTCTTTCCAAGCCCTAGTCCCATAAATGTGACTGAAATACTGGATTACCTCCGTGTATCAGTCACAGAGCCACGTACGGCCTGTGAGCGGAGCGTCCCGTTGCTAGGGGAGCCGAAAATTAATTAAAGATCAAAATTATTTTGTCAGCAGAAAATCAACCCAGCTATAGTAATTTAGTATGACTGCTAAATAGCATTTCAGTCACATTTATGGGACTATCCAAGCCCCCACCCCCCTCCCCCACCCCCCCTCCCCCACCCCCCTCCCCAGCTGAGTAAACCTCAAAGACAGTCACCTTTGACAAGCCTGAATCTGCCATTCACGACACTCAAAAATTAGACCACACACCTTCAGTTTTGGGAATCTCACTGTAAAGTAGTCATGGTAGTGATGCTTGGGAACCCCGCATTTGACCGCATTTGTCTGACAAGAGTCTGAAAGGTCACAGGCCCAGACGTCAACAGTCAAGTCAGCATTACGTGGCGTCGATTCCTTGGACCAGCACTCTACGGCAGGGTGTCCCATTCTCTGCAGCTGCAGTGCGTGCCCATGTACAGAATGGAGCTACACGGCACGTGCAGCGATCATGCATGCTCGTCGGGAAACATGATCATTAGTATCGACATTAGTTAGTTAACTTTTACAGACCCGTGAAAACGCCACGTTCACGGGTCTAGTTACACACTACAGTGAACATCTTGAACATCTACGAGAAGGCATCGCTGAAAACCTCACAAACGCAAGATGTGCAACTGCATCGGAAAACCACGGAAGAAAACCAAACGAATTCCGATTTTACCATGAAGGAATTTTACGAACGTAAGTTTCATCATGGTTTCAACTTTCATGGACTCGAGCCGCATACCACCTGTACCGTACCGCCACACGCGAACTAGCTGGACTCTCGAGTCTCGACTGCGGTTGTTTACAAAAAAGTAACCAGTAACTTTCAACAGCGCCACCACTTGACCAAGAAATTTGTACGCACATTGTTTTTAAAAACTTTTCAGCTGGTAACAATACTGAACATAATCTTGGTTGGGATTGTATCCGTGTATGATGGTGTAAACATCAACAGAATTGTCAACATTACATCAACCCTAAAATCATTCATTAATTTCCAGCCAAGCTTGTCAAGTTCCATTTTGAGCAGCAACGTCGCAAGGTTGGATCCAGAACACAATTTTTTGGGGGGCAAAAAAAATTGTGATCCTCAAATAGTGTGTCAAAAACATTACGGCGTGGGGTTCGGGGCCCGCTTAAGGGCCCCGAATTTTGTTTGGATTCAAGGGGCCGTATCATAAGTCCGACGCCTCATAGGTCCGACAACAGAAAAACGAGGCGTTTAATTTGTCGGACTTACGAGGCGTCGGACTTACGAGGCGTCGGAGCTATGAGGTGTCGGACTTATGAGGCGTCGGACCTATGAGGCGTCGGACTTATGAGCGGACCCCGGATTCTAGATGCTCGGTGGTGCGATCTGAGGCAATTTTTTTTTGGGGGGGGGAGATGGTGGTGTACTCATTGCCTGCCTTTATTGGGGGGGGGGGGGCATGCCCCCCCGGGTCCGCCCTTGCAACGTCGTTGCTCATTGCAATGTGATGTAAATAAAGCCACTTTGAACATTAATATCTGCACCTTTTCCCCTTTTATATACATTATCGGTTAGTGCAGTATCCGTTCTGTTTTTAATTACATTAGCTGTCCTCACGTGATACACCGATTAGAAATGTACTACACTATCAGTACGTATAGTAGTCTACGGTCGCCATCTTTTACATGATTTACCAGCCCGAGTCCAGAGGATTGAAACCGCTTCAAGTTGACAGCGCAAATTCCACATTTTAATTTAGGGTAATATTTTGGCCACCACACATGAAATTTTAATAAACCAATAATTAATAATGGTTACGTTTCTATAATCCGACATCTCATTGGTCCGACGTCGACTGGTTCAGGTTGACTGACCCTAACCCTAAACCTAACACAAACCCTAACCGTCGGACCAATGGGACGTCGGCGGCCCAATGGGACGTATTGACCAATGGGACGCAGGGCCTGAGACCAATATGGCCGTCGGACTAGGGGACGTCCCCATAATTCACTTTCATCTCTTTTTGATATTTTGGATATCACTTCTTTTGTCCATACTCGATCTGTCAAAAGGAACGGTCTGATCTCAGCATCAATTTTAGTTGTTAGTTTTTAATTATTTCAATTGTTAATTTTACTATTTAAACACTTAAATACACTTGATATAATCCATGATAACCGTGATTACACGGTGTACATATTTTTGTTATGATCTACAAACTTGTTTGTACACTTTTTTCCCGCTCATTTTCCGTGTTTCTTATGAAAAACAATATTTTTCAGACGAACATAATTATGTTCGTCTGAAAAATATATCGACAAAAGTCAAATGTGAATCCACTGTGACATGAACCTGACTTCCTTTTTGGGCACTCCTTTTTATTTTTGTGGTTCTCAGTTCCGACCGATCAGTTTTGAACCCCATTAACCCTAAAAAGGCCGGGTTTGGGGGGGGGGGGGCAGAAATCGCCCCTTGTTACATTTTCTATGAAAGGTGCGCTTGCACGGCGAGCACGCGTTATTGGCAAATTCGGGCAACCTCGTCCCCAGTGCTTACTTTATTTCCAACACGGTTTCCAATAGTAAACCCTGGATAGGAAACTTTCTTCCTGTATCCTGATTGGATACCGCAATTGGCTAGTTATGGATTTTTATCGTGTACTTGGTGCTATTATTCACAACGTGCAGTACGTGTTTTCGCGATCATTCGTCCACGCCTTCTCGAAAATACTAATTTCCTTTCTAATTTGCTCATATTAATATGAAATATGATACTGCATGTTGTCTCGATAAGATCGTAACAGTTTGATTTCAAAAATCGTGTTTTCGTAACTCACGCCGTGCTCGCGCTGCTACGAATTGACTCTGTTTTTACCCCAGACACCGCATACAAAAACAAACGCTAATGTGTAACGCATATCCTTTTTATATTAGTATTTAGTATATTTTTACTCTGTACATAACTTGATGAGGAGTGGCAGGTCTTTGACCACAGTGATTGTTATCGCTTTTGCCTCTCCTATGCCCATCTTGTATGTGATGAAATAGAATTGGCATGAATAAATAATAATAATAATAATATCCAGGCACCAGACTGTTCCTCATTTGCATACGTGTGCAAAAATGTTGCACATGCAAATGATCCAATACCAGGGTGACAGAGCAGGTAGTGGTGGGCGCGTACTGCTCGACACCCTGGGGACGAGGTTGAAATTCGGGCGATTCACAATGCAGTGCGCCACCAAGAGTTTGCCATGGAGAATCCATTTTTTTCAAGTTTACGACGGTCGACAAAACGTGGCCCATTTGAATGAGTGTCAGTAGACAACTTGAGCTTAATTGTTACAGACTGGGGCATAGCGTTCTGCTGCTTTACAAGAAACACCATATTGATAAAAGAAAAGAAAAAGGGCAAACAGATACTCGAATCATAATTATACGCTAACGAAACTACTAACCGGAAAAACGAACAATTTCAAATGTCCCGCGCTGCGAATTTGTCGACCATACGAGGAAAAATGAACTCTCTGGGCAAACTCTTGGTGGTGCACTGCATTGTGAATCGCCCGAATTAGCACAAGCGCTGTATCTAGGTTTAATGGGTTAACTCAGCATGCACGAATTTGTCATTTTTGTCAAAATTGGTTGAGCATGGCAAAAGTCAGCATTAGAATAATCCACTTAGCCATAAATGTTCCATACTCACTATCGGCCTGTAATTTCAGCATCATGCAGTCACTCAAATCTTTGACGGCCTTTACAACTCTACCCGATGTTCCCCAATACCTATGTTCCCCAACACCGATGTTCCCCGAAATCCTTAGGATTAGGGTTAGGGTTGGGTTAGGGTTAGGGTTAGGTTAAGGATTTCGGGAACATCGGTATTGGGGAACATCGGTATGAACCCCAACTGTTTTCTTTTATCTGAAGAGGTGATGGAGAAATTTGCTAAAGGCCGATTGCAGGTATATGGGTCGGGGGGGGGGGGGGCAAAATGTTCCCGAAGAGGTAGCACATCTTGATTGTTGGTGTTTTTTTTCTGTATTTTTTTTTCGGGGCGGGGGGCGTTAACATGTAACGTGTGGGTGTTAGGTGCTGGATTTCCTTCGTCTCGCCACTGATATACGCGAATGACTGCAGGATTAAAAGACCTTGGATGAGCTTTACAAATTTAACCTTTCCAAAGGGCCTACAATTTTACAAAGCGTGGTCTGAGAGATTGTATGAAAGAGATTGTATGAAAGAGAGAAAACACCTGTTGTATTTTGACTTGTGATATAACTTATGAAACATGGATAAGTGAATTGAATGTAATTTGATGAAGGCCTTTCCACGCTGCACAATCTATATATTTCAAACACATGGTGAATCGATTGTAATTTACAAAAAGAGCTGTTTCGGATCATGGGGGAAAACACACACTAGACTTAATAGTGCCAAATTCACCGCTTGAGAGAGTTTTAGCGCCCTCTGTTGACAGAAAAGTTTGTTGTTAATATTATGGGATGGCAAGTGATAGGACGTGCGGAGGACTAAAGTTTTTTCAACCTTTTGACATCTTTTAAGCTTTCTTTTTGACTTACTCTCGACTTAGGGATCGGTATTTGCGTGTTTTGGAGCAATTGGGATCCTAAGAGGAGCTTCTCATAAACTGTAAGAACTGATCGAGGGCCTTGAATTGAACAGTGTGTGAACTTGTTTTCTTTCTTCTGAGAACGATTGAAGCGTTGGAAACTTAATAGGCCCAGTCCTGTCCGCAAAATAAACGTGAAAAATGAGCTTCAAAGTGAACTTTAGAAAGGCCCATAAATAGGCACGTACAAGGCCTATTATTGTGTTCAGCACTACGTTGTCTGAGCGAGCACCGTCGGCGGATTCAAAAACAACTTTTGGGGGATTCTGTTTTTACACTACAGTTTGTTTTTTGGTCACTTTTTTTATGGAGGAGTGGTGGTGTACCAACCTTACCATCTTTGTGGACCTGACAACAAAACAGGTCCACATAATGCAGGTTGTGTGAATGCTATGTGGACTAAGCCAGGTCCACATAAGGATTTGCTCTCTCTGGAAAACAGGTTTAGAGGTATTTTGGGGTTAGGATCATTTGTCGCAAATTAAAGAGGAACACCCAAGGAAATCAGGATAAAAAAAAAATGGTTTGAGAGAGTTTTCACAGTGTGAGTAAAAATTGGTTGTCCCCGGTTTTCCTTAACTGTGCGAAAACAAAGGAATGTCCACATAGGGTATGTAATATAAACGTGTGTGGGTGTGTACATAATGTATACACATTGAAATTGTGGACCTTGAACAATAGAGGACTATAGGGTTGACCGAAGGTCCACGTTTGATGTGTGTGTACAAATCTTACGGGGTATCTTCATCCAAATAAGTATAAACAAAAGAGGGACAATAGGGAGTCCGCGATGAAGTGAAGGTGTTTACACAGTTGATCCTGTTATCCTTTGCATTTATCTGTAAAAGCCATCTACCGAATTACATGTATTATCAAAAGGTTTACTTGGATTAAAGATCCTACTGGCACTGAACACCCCGTGAAATGATTCCGCTTGGCTAAATGTATTCCAACGATTACTCAATATTGACTGATTATTGGAAACACGGAGCGCATGCTGTGGACGCGATTTTGTGATCAGGGTTGTGCAGGCGGGGAGTTTCACTGTTGTCTCAAAAAGCTCAATCTCCACTGAGATGAAACTTCAACAGATTAGGTTTGGAACAGTCTTC